AAGACCCAGGGGTTTGGGTCTTTGATCACTTTGTAACCAATTGGTTAGGATATTATTCTCAAGCCTCCCCAGGAAAGGGGCTGTAAGGACTTGGGGGGATATTTTGGGGGAAGAGGAACTCCAAGTGGTCCTTTCCCTGTTTCTTGTTAAATCACTTAGTGGTGGCAGCGTACTAGGTTTTAACCTAAGCTGGTAGAAATAAGCTTAGGGGGGCTTTCATGCGGGTCCCCACATCTGTACCCTAGAGTTCAGAGTGGGGAAGGAACCCTGACAGGTGGGATTTTCAAAAGCATTAAAGTGATTAAGGTGCACAAGCTGCCATCAAGCTGCAAACCCTGTTGGAGGAGTATAGCCTAGTCAAAGTATTTCATCTTGCCATGTAGACGAGCGCACAAACTAGTTGCTTATCACTTTTGTGTTTGTGTTGGCTCCATGGTGAGGATGTTAATGAGGCCCTAGATTTATCTTTTTCAGCACAGTTGAGCATTTTATGTCTGAAACTTCTTGGTACGGAAAATTCTATGTAAAATCTGAAAGTCTACTAGCAATTAGGAAACTTTTCAAGAAACAAGTACAACACATCCATTTTAGCAATTTAAGACTAAAAAATGGGAAGAAAGGAAAGAACTAGAAATGTGTAAATTAAAAGTCTGATTTTAATTAAAACTGATTTAAATAAAATAATCAATTTTTATTTTTAAAATTATTTTTGTACACCCTGAATTAAATTATTGGAAAAGGATGGAAGACATCTACAAGCCATAGTCCTAGCCCTTTGAACCTACTGCAGACTTGGTCCAGGAGAGAAGTAGATTCTCATGGCAAGTAGACCCATTTCTACGATCTCCAATATTGACAGATCTGTTGGAATATCCATTGGCTGTAGTGATATATTCTGGGGTGAGGCCTCTGATTGGTTCATGGTTCCTGCCACGGGGAGCTCACAGACTCATAGACTTTAAGGCCAGAAGGGACCATCATGATCATCTAGTCTGATCTCCTGCACATTGCAGGCTGCAGAACTTCACCTGCCCACTCCTGTAGTAGGCCCATAACCTCTGGCTAAATTACTGAAGTTCTCAAATCTTGATTTAAAGACTTCAAGTTATAGAGAATCCACCATTTACTCTAGTTTAAACAAACAGGTGATCTGTGCCCCACACTGCAGAGGAAGGCGAAACCCCAAGAGTCTCTGCCAATCTGACCTGGGGGAAAATTCCTTCCCGACCCCACTATGGTAATCAGTTAGATCCTGAACATGTGGGCAAGACCCACCAGTCAGACACCGGGGAAAGAATTCTCTGTAGTAACTCAGCGCCCTCCGACTCCTCCTTCTCTCAGCTGTTGGAGATATTTGCTGCTAGCAGTCACAGATTGGCGACATGCCACTGTAGGCAGTCTCATCATACCATCCCCTCCATAAACTTACCATGCTCAGTCTTGAAGTCAGTTAGGTTTTTTTGCCCCCACTGCTCCCCTTAGAAGGCTGTTCCAGAACTTCACTCCTCTGATAGTTAGAAACCTTCATCTAATTTCAAGCCTAAACTTATTGATGGCAGTTTATAGCCATTTGTTCTTGTGCCAACATTGGCCCATAACTTAAACAACTCCTCTCCCTCCCTAGTGTTTATCCCTCTGATGTATTTATAGAGAGCAATCATCTCACCTCATCCTTCATTTTGTTAGGCTAAACAAGCCAAGTTCTTTAACTTTCCTCTCATAAGGTAGGTTCCTCATTCCTCTGACCATCTTAATAGCCCTTCTTTCCTTGAATTCATCTTTCTTAAACATAGGAGATCAGAATTGTACACAGTATTCCTGATGAGGTCTCACCAGTACCTTGCATAACTGTAATATCTCTTCCCTATCTCTCCTGAAAATACCTTGCTGAATGCATCCTAGGATTGCATTAGCCTTTTTCATGACTGCATCACATTGGCAGATCACAGTCATCCTGTGATAGACCAATACACCCAGGCCTTTCTCCACCTCTGTTGTTTGCAACTGATACTTCCCAGATTGGATTCTCCCCAGAACATCAGATTCACTCTTTTCTTCACCAGATTCTTGCTCTGGGTCCTTGCCTGTTTGCTGATGCAAGTTATGATAGCTTCATTGCCTGTCCTAATTAAAACAGGGTACCTCTGACTTAAATCCTTGAAGGTCAGCAGTCTTCCATAGCTCTCTGAGTCCCAGCACATTGGTATGAGATGTCCAGTCAAGATCTTCATCAGTCAGGTACTGGAAGTCCTTCCTCTGTGGCAAATTGGCAAGACTTGGTTTGTGCAGAATGTTCAGTGTGTTTGACATGCACATAATATGGTCACAGCTGTCTGCACACTCAGGGGAAAGGTAGAATGGGAGAGAAAGTAAGTTTTCTAGAAGGTCTGGCTGGAGGGTCCCTCTGGTAGTGAGAGGAAGAAGAGCAGGTTTTCCTTATGGCTTCTCACCCTCATGGAACTTTCACTAGGTAAGGGGAACCCTGAAGACCTCTTTCATTCACTCCTGACTGCAATGCTAAAAGGGCTTTAAGGCTGTGAGGTTTTCTCCCAAGCCCCTGGAGCAGGAGGACAAAGGTACTAAGAGGAACTAGACTAGCCACTGGAAAACTGGCTTTGGCATGGAATTCCATGTATGCTGCAGAGCTGCTTCTCCTGCAGTTTCCTCTAATATTGTGGAGTTTGGTGGGAGGAGATCTGGTTTCAGCCCAACAGACCCATCAGTTTTGGTAGGAAAGATCTGTATCACACAATGGCTGGTCTCAGTGCAGCTGTTGTGACCCAGGCCCCAGCACACACCCCATTGGTAGAGATTCTCATCCCTGCCCCAGGTAGGGGAAGACTTGCATGAGTCCCAGATCTGACTCACAGGGAAGAAACCCAGTGGCAAGAGGGACAGAACATCTTAACCTTTGCCTGGAAAAGCTCTGCTCTATAATTGAAGTGAAACCTTCCTACTCTCAAGTCCCTTGAGGGGCTGCTATGCCCTGTTACTGCAGAAGGATGGATCCTGCTGAATTGCAGGGAGGACTGGAGTTACAAGGGGATATTCTGCTGCCATCAACCTCTTCTCTGAAAGGAAGTGCCTACATGTGTTGGAAGAGCAATGGAGCTGCTAATTCATTCTGTACTCATGGAAGCCTCAAGTAGAAAGACAAGAAGAAAACAGTAAAAGCAGGAAAAAGAGCAACGAATTAGCCCGAGGTGATGTACTAAGCAATCCCAGCATTTTTTATTTTATTTTACTTTACTTTATTTAAAAATCCATTTGCTTTGTTAACCAGCTGTGAGCATATTGGACTCACAGTCCGAGGTATGGAATGCCCAATACGAGCAATGTGATCTGTAACTCTCTCTTGGATAGACTGAAAATGACTCTTCAGACCTGCATATCTGTTCCTGTTGTCCAGACACACACCGCACGTCTGGATTTTGAGAATATTTTCAGCTTCATTGAGCAGTGAATTGGTGCCTTCTCTGAGACAGAGAGCTCTTGTCTTCCAGTCATTCTCACCAGGTAGTTATGGTGGTAGCTATGATGAATGGCTAAAATTTCAGACATCTTAAACTTTGAGAATTACAGCAATTTTCAATTTTGAAGCCTGCCAAGGGGAATCACGTTCAGAGAACTCATGTCTTGGGGAACACTGGGGTCCCCTTCATTGACCTAGATTTCTCTTATCCTTTATTCCTAATCCTTAATCAAGAACATATAAATAAACTCACAATAAGATACAGCTGCAAAATCTCATCTGATAGCACTTTATAATAAATGGACATGAATTAATACTAGATTACAATGAAATTTCTATGAAATTACATATTACATTCACGCCATATCAGTACTGAAAACAGGCCCTTATGCCCATTGCCAGCCCAATAAATTCCCAAGGAATTATCATGGATTCAACCCTTATTGTAGATAATCAAACCTCTCAACTGCTCAAGAGGCAAAAGAAGGAGCAAACTAGAAACTGTGGTTCAGGGGCCAGGAAAAATCATTGTTACAGAAAAATAATAATTAAAAATGGGATCAAGCTCTGTCATAAAACATTAAACTCACTGAAACTGTCTCAAAACTCAGTGTGTGTTAATTAGTTCCGTCAAGAATAAATTGTGTACACAATCCTTAGTGCTGGGCTGGTGTTGGGTCTGTGCATATTTAAGTAAGAATATGAACCAGAAAAGAAAAGCTTCCATCCTAGCTGTCAGCTGGTTGGAAATTTTCTGCCAAACCATTTTTTTCATTTGAAAAGGCAGAATTTTCAAAACCAAAATTTTTCACCGAAATGCATCATTCTCAATGGGACGGTTTCTCAGGTCCAGCATGGGATTTCTGGGAAGAGAGAGAGAGAAAGCCAGGCAACAGAGACAGTCTCTCTCTGGTCCAATTAACATTTAATTGTTTATACAAAGTGGCACAGCTCCAACAGGTGAGAGAGACTGCAGCCATGTCTACACTACAGGTGCTATGGCAGTACGGCTATAACACTGACAGTGACAATTCCTACACCGGGGTTGGCAACCTCTAGCCAGGGTAAGCACCCTGGCAGGCCAGGCCAGTTTGTTTACCTGCCGCGTCGGCAGGTTCGGCCAATCGCGGCCCCCACTGGATTTTCAAAGGGGAATGTGATCTAATTATGGCATGGAAAAGAAGCAAAACATATTGCTCTATACCACTGATTATAAATAAAGTTGTTTCTTTCTCAAATTTCTATTAAACCGTTCACTAACAGCTCATTGTAGGGAGGAATACATTCATTTCAGGAAGCCCTTCCTCAGTCTCAGTTACTGACTGCTCCTCAAAGGTGGAATTTGGAGGTCCCCAGTTGTTTTGCTAAAGGTCATTATCAGCCTGCACAACCGTGCCAGCCAAGGGGTGAGGGATAGCTCTGTGGTTTGAGCATTGGCCTGCTAAACCCAGGGTTGTGAGTTTAATCCTTGAGGGGGCCATTTAGGGATCTGGGGCAAAAATCTATCTGGGGATTGGTCCTCCTTTAAGCAGGGGGTTGGACTAGATGTTCTCCTGAGGTCCCTTCCAACCCTGATATTCTATGATTCTAAGGCTTGTCACTGAAATTGTTCTCCTACAAATGGACTGAAAGTTCATTTAATGAAATTTTATGGACGACACAACCATATTCAGTTCTACCATTCAGTGTGTGGAGAGAGGAGGAGATTGAATGCAAGTGATGTTTTGGGGTGAAATCTCTTTCTATCAAGGGGAGTTTATTTCCTTCCTACTGTGTGAATACGAGAGGACCTTTGTTGCCATTTCTGTGATTATATCCATAATCTGAATCTTATTTGTTTACAACATTTGTATATATGTTAGTCAGGTCAGCAAATGTTTCTGATCTCAGGAAAGTCTTGTCTGTGATTAGTTTTGCCAGTGCTTCATGAAATGTCTTCTTCCTCATTCAGTGAAGAAAACTTTTATGGCTCTAATCCCATCCTACTGCTACTAAACATGCCTAAGGCTATGTTGACACTGCAGCAGGGAGTGTACTTCCCAGTGTGGCTAGACAGATACTTGTTAGCTCTGCTCAAATAGCAGTGTAACTGGGGCAGCACAGGTGGCAGCTTGCGCTCGCCACCTGAGTGTGTGCCAAGCGGGTTTGGGTGGGTGCATACCCAGGTGCCTAGACTGAGTCACTACCCCTGCTACCACAGCTACACTGCTATTTTTAGCACACTAACTTGAACAGAGCTAACACTGCTTCAGTGTAGACATCGCCTAAATGAGCATCTTAGTTCAAGACGGCTTTTCATTAATCTCTCGGCAGAATGCTTTACATGAGAGGGATAGTTGGTGGGGATTCCAGATGAGAGGTGGAAGTAATGCAAGGGGCATTTTTATCTTTCACCATCTGGATAGCATCTTCAGCTAGCTCAAAAAAACTTTTCCTAGTTCAGAAATCCATGAATTCTTAAAACCAGGAGATCAAATAGAGATGGCTTGCATTGTAGCATAGCAGAATCTGAGACTGCTTTCAGCATTCTGAAATCTGACTACGTTTCAGATGAACAAGGCAAATTCAGCATTTTTTGTTTATATTTCATTAAAACATAAGAATGCCCAATTATTTCTTGATCGGTTTCTGAATATTTGTGATCTTCTAAACATTTAATGGTACCTAGATGGCATCACTTGAGGACATTCTTGGTCATTTGACATTGCACCTATAGCCTAGAAATTTCACTAACTGTATCACAAGGAGACCATTAAATTAAAAGTTTCTAAGTTTTCGATTCTCCTACAAAGGCTGCTCAGCTCACGGTCTGGTACCCAATCACCAGACCGATTTACATCAATATGTGTGTGTCCCCTCTGTACTTCCTGGGGTTTGTCACTCTGTATAGGAAGAGATGGAAGTCTGAAGAGTTGACATTCATTTAATCAGCACTAATCAGGAATCTAAATGGATCCAGCACTAAAGTCTTTCAATGTTCAGTTTTAAATTCTGACAATTTGCAAACTCTGATTTCCCTACATTTAGATATTTATAATCATTACAATCTTTTACTTAAAAAAAGCATCAATCCTTTTGTATCTATAAATCTTTCATAAAAGCAGTGAAAATGAAAACAGACCTGCCTCTCACCTGCATGTCAAAAAAAGGCATTGCATGATAACATCCATCAAAGACTCAGTCATACAGAAAACAGCTTGCCCTAAAAACACTTTTGTTCTTATCAAAAACAACAACAACAACACAAAAAAAAAAAAACTGGCCACAATATGTGCCTTGTAAACATGTGTCCTTCACTTAAATAATAACCCTGCACATTCTACTGGTCTCTTAAATGTGCACTCCTGTCCACAGCTGCAGTGCATTGCAGGCAAGCAGGACACTTTGTAAGGGTATCATTACTTGATTTTGTCGTACATAATTTTTAAAGCGATGTGGGGGGCTTGTATGTCAAAGATCAGGGTTCCTCTAAAATTCCTCAGGCTGCTGATTTAGGTAGGCAAACATCTTTCCAGGAGGCATCTGCTCTACCGTAAATCAGGGAACCTTCAATTCTTTGCTACTCCAGTGAGTCACTGTGCTCCAAGCCAAGGTCATTGACATTCGTTGTCTGGAGCTCATCGTTATCTTCCTCCAGTTCTTCTTCTTCTTCTTCCTCCATTTCATCCTCCTCCTCATCTTCTGTTCCATCAAGTGAATCGTCATGAGCTGCCATCATGACCTGCTGCATAGCAATGGTAGCATTATCGGAAGACAGGGACTGCAGATTGTCCATAATTAAGGAGCCTACAATAAAAACAACACCTGATATAAAGAATTACATTTGCAAGTTTACTTTGCTGAGGCAACAACGCCATCTGACATCACGTTGCTTTACCACGACGGCTGACTTGCTATGGAGAGATCCACATTGGTTGGCATTTGCCGTACCTCCCATTGAATATGAGATGTGACAATCAAACCTTCTCTTTAACCTAATACATTTTCAGTCAGAATCACAGAATTACACATCAATATTTCAGGTAAAACAACACAGCATCTGAATTTTCAGTAATAAGCTTGAATCTGACATATTCAGCGTGGACAATACTACTATCCACGCATGGAAGTTTTATCTGAGAATCTAACAGAGCTTTAAAAAGGTGAGTATTAGTATTATTATTATCCATACTGTACAGATGGGAAAACTGAGGCACAGAAGTCACAGTGTTCAAACTTGTATGCATACATGTTGAAGCTGAAGTTTCACAATTCTGGAGGTTTTATGCTTAGTGGATTAATTTGCATATTTTATTACTATGCATCACCTTGTTTACATAAATGCTATAAAATGTCCTAATGACCAGAACATGAGCCTGGTAAAACTGAAGCCTGGAAGGAACTTTGGGAACATAGGAACGTCTGGTGGACAGGTGACTCTAACTGTTTCTTGAGGCTCTGGCCCTTGCTGCTCCTTGTCCATGGACTGGACAGGAGGGCTGTGATTGGGTTTCTAGCCCTTGATGGTGGCTGCTGCTTCCCTGGTCTGGGAGGGGGATCAGGCTGCTTCCTGCCATCAGCTGGGAGATGCTCTGGCTAGGCTGCCAGATGTCTAACTCGCTGCTCATTGCCTGATTGGGACATGCTGCTCTTGCTGCCAATCCCTGGTTCCAGCTCAAAGATGCCTCTGGCCAGGGAGAAATGACTCTAGTGTCACTCTAGCCATACCTCCAAGTCTTACCATGGAGCTCCCCCCTAGAGCCACTCTTTCGATGGAGATGAAGCCGAGAGCATCTCTGCAGTTCTCAAGGAGATTTAAGCTCCTCCAAAGGAGCACCTCAGAAGGCAGCTGTAAACAGGAGCCGTCTGGCTAAATCAAGAGTCTTGATAGGTTTGTGTGCACCTGGCATCTGACAGTGCTACCGAATCTCACAAATTTAGCATGAGTCTTTCAAGATTTGATGTCATGCTTGAAGCCCCTTCGGCTGGAGTCATAGCAATATGTGAGAATCAAAGTTTTCATTCAAATAAAAAGAGTCTAGCCTTCATGGTTGTGGAGAAAAACCTGACAATGTGACCCAAGAGCACTCAAAAGGCTCAGGAACCAGGAGGCAACTAAAAAGACCCTGACTTTTTATTTGTTTGTTTGTTGGTTTCAAATGTCCTGATTTTTAGCCAACCTCATGATTCTGGGGGGCCTGATTTGTGATTTTTGAATGCTTAGGTTGATGATACGGCATTGGGCACCTCCAGCCCAAGAGACAAGTCAAGGTTTTATGGGGTGCTGGTACCATAGCTCCCACTGACTATGATGCTGTGGAGTGCTAGCTGAACACAAGCACTCAGGGACATGCGTATGGTTGCTTCAGTATGTCAGGCATTTCAGAGTCTATTCCCAGGAAAGCTATGCACTCACGTCACCAACCTGCTACTTCTTTACCCTTTGCTAATGTTTCTCTTTTAAGCAACACTTTACGGTTGTTATTATTATACGTATTTATAACTGCCCACCACGTCAATATCTGGAACACACTTTACCTTGGTTACCACCAACCAAAATGATCCAGAGCCTCAGCTGGTGTAAGTCAGTAGAGCTCCACCGAAGTCAACAGACCTGCACCAATTTACACCAGCTAAGGATCTGGCCCAATATCATCCCCAAAACCACTGGGAAAACACTGACCAAACATCTCTAAGGGCAGGTCTACACTTACCCCCCAAGTCGAACTAAGGTACGCAACTTCAGCTACGTGAATAACGTAGCTGAAGTTCGAAGTACCTTAGTTCGAACTTACCTCGGTCCACACGCGGCAGGCAGGCTCCCCCATCGACTCCGCGGTACTCCTCTCGCCCAGCAGGAGTACCGCAGTCGACGGCGAGCACTTCCTGGTTCGACTTATTGCGTCCAGACAAGACGCGATAAGTTGAACCCAGAAGTTCGATCGCTCGCCGCCGAACTACCGGGTAAGTGTAGACCTACCCTAAGACTAGGGATGCATAAATAGCAATCTGTGTTACTAGAGCAGAACAGTGCACTAAGTACATTTACACCTGGTACAATATTGGGAGGAGTTGCAAACACCTGTGAGGATAAAAGAATCAAAAAGTGATAAAAAAAAGATGGAGACATGAGCTTAAAATAATTAAAACAGACTCATCTTGGAAAAATGCATCCAATACACCTGGGGAAACTAACCAGAAACACAGAGAACAAGACAGGCTACTGCCAGTGAGTTGCAATAGTAAAATAGTTGTGCTGAAAATGGAGGCCTGAATCTTGCCATTTGCTCCACTTGAATGAGGACAATTCTGGAACTGGTTCCCTGAAGCCCAGCCCAGGGTCAAAACTCTGATCTGCTTCCAAGTTCCTAAGAGAGAAGGGGAAACCCACTGTACAGATGGATGGACATTAAGGGTCTAGAGAATGACTTGCAGGAATAGCACGAATAAGCTGCAATTTATAAGAGACAGGCTAACAGACTGGAAATATCTACAAGATATTAACACTAAGGAGGCAGAGAACTTACTTACTGATATACAAGAGATTTAACTAGGATAAACTGGATGAAATTAAGACAGGGAAAATTTAGGTTCAACATCAGGCAATCCTTGTCAGTGAGATGGATTCGGTATGGAACAGTCTCTGAACACAAATGGACCAGGCCCCATTGCTTGGGACATTTAAAATCAGACTGGACGGAATACAGGGAAATACCCTGTAAGGAACAACCCTGTCTTGCATCCCATCCTTGAGATGTGCACTGGATGACCTAACATGTCCTTTCCACTTCTAGCTTGTATGACTGTATGATTGCAATGCAGCCTGCAGTCAGTGGGGAGCCTAAACAGAAAATGATGAACCTACAGGCTGCTCTAAAAGTGGGGACCTACAGCCAGAGGGGCTGGATTTCAGACTTAAGATGCTCCTGTGAGCATCACCGTTTGTTCTGCTAGCCAAAATGTACCTTCTGAGCACAGTTGTCATGGTGGGACATCAGGGGAGTAGTCTCTGAGATAACTGGGGCCTAGACCAGGGCAGGTTTGCAAAAAAGGGTCCAGAAGGCAAATGAAGTATGGCAGCATCCATAGGCTTTGGGGAAAGGGAGGCTAACCTCTACAGTACTTCCACCTCTAAGCCTTCAAAACTCATTAGTAAGGCCCCTCAAAAATCCATGAGAGTGGTTTAAAAATCAGGAGTTTTTCAAGCTTTCAGGTTTTCAAGCTTTTCTTCACAACCACGATTTACTTAAAAATAAAAGGTGGGGGGAGAATGCTGAGATTCTCATCTAAGCACATGCCTCCATGAGCTGCAGCTTTAAGAAAAACACCTAATACTGTGAGACTCACAATAAAATCATGAGAGCTCCAAGAGCTGGCAACACTGAATGTTACGCCTCTCTGTTTTTCCTTCATCTTCTCTCTGTTTCTCACTTTCATTTTCACATTATTGCACTTGTGCTTATTTTTCTCCCTATTTTGTAAATGTCTCTGCATCTAATCCTCCCCTTTTCCCAAATGCTCCTTCTCATCTGGAGAGTTATGACTTTTAATACATTGGCAGCTGACCTCAGTGTTTGCTGCTCTTCACTTAAGCTAAGTAATGAGTAAAGTAACAACCCCACCCCCAAAAAATCTCATTAACACACACACAGAAAAGTCTTGCAAATCAGGTTGTAAAATCTCTGGCTGTTTGAATTATTCATTGTTTAATCTGTTTTCAGAACTTTAAAACGTATAATATTGGGAAAGTGCAGGATAAGAAACTATTCAAGAAAAGCAGTTAACACAACAGGGACATTCTATATGTTGGGGGAGCATCCTGTAACCCCCATATTCCTCATTTATATATAATTGTGATATTGCAGATAAAACAGGCCATGTGAGGTATCAGGGGAAAGGTTATGATCTGCTGAAAGTCACTGTTCTATCTAAATATATATATCATTAATGCATATGAAGTTATGAGAATGGTGTTGTATTGTTATCACTAAAATATTCTGTGGGTTTTGGAGGCACCCAGATACTAGCTCTCCAGAGACAATGACAAGGGAGGTAACCAACACCCAGGTGGGTGCTGAACAGACATCACCTGCCATTGTCCTGCAGAGGAGCTACAATTCAATGACCACACCTGCATGAGGCCACACCAGGGGAATTGCTCAACCTTGCTTGTCTGGTGACTCAGCAATGCCCACCGGACATGCCTGGACTTGTGTTCTCCAAACACATGGGACAGAACACAGGGGCCCCATGCTTGGCCTTTCTCCTTCCCCCACCTATGCTGCAAGCAACAAGGACACTCAGAAGACTGAAGACCCCAACAGAGGAGACTGGCCCAGGTCTCAAGGGTGAAACCCGTGTACTATGAACTGCAATATCCAGTGCTTAATCTAGATGTTGCACAGACTAATAGGGTTCAGAGTTTAGACTGCATGCTTATATTTTGTTTTATTTTGGTAACTAACTGACTTTTTGCCTATCACTTATAAATCACTTAAAATCTATCTTTTGTAGTCAATAAATTTGTTTAACTGTTGATCTTTACCAGTGAGTTTTCTTGGAGCGTTTGGTAAACCTGCTCAGATTTACAAAGGCTGGCGTATATCCACTTTCCATTGATGAAGTGGTGAACCAATTAATAAATTTGCACTGCTCGTCTTGAGCAATGTAAGATGGTATATTCCTGAGGTGCAAGGCTAGGAGCTGGGGGGATTTGGCTGGTGCCTTTCTCTGTGTGATTTATGAGTGGCTCTGGGAGCATTCATGCAATATAGCTGGGTGTGGGGCTCCACATGCGATTGTACTGAGTGATATCAGCACCTGGAGGTGTTTGCTGCTTGTCACTAGCAAAGCATTGTGAGAGACAGCCCAGGCTGGAGAGCAGTCCCACGGTCCCAGGCTGCACCTCGGGGATCCTGTCACAACAACATCTGCTTGAATTATTTATAGTAGCAGCTTCCGAGAGCAGGGGTAATGCAATCTGTATATATGTGATATAAGTGAAGTTTAGAGGCAGCGCTGCCTACAGCAGCTCAGAAACAGCTTTTAGTCTAATAGTGACAAGAAATTTTAAAAGGTAAATTTTCTTGTTTTTATTCAGTTGAAAAGTCAATGATTTTATGCAGCTTATGTCCCTATATGAATTCTCAGTGTCTCTCTGACTCTAATCTAGGACTGTCAACTTCATGACTTGGCCAATTCTGAAGATATTGCAAGATTCTTTTTTAAATGTTCCTGGCTGATGTAACAGTCATTAGGAAAGCACTCTGCAGCAGTACATGAAGACTCAAAGGGAATGTCATGAACCTAGTGAGAACCAGATTTATGTTCCATTAATTCGTGAGTTTAAGAATTGGTGGATACAAACTTCTTTTTTTAAACAAGAAATGGTCTAGTTCAACCACATTCGCAGTTGGGAACCCTCTTCTCCAGTGAGGCACCGAAGCCAAGTCGGCCCTTTCTTATGAAAAAGCCGAATCTGGATTTTAAAATGGTCAGTGATGCCACAACCCATCTTAAATTGCTCCAACGGTTCATTACTCTCACTGTTAAAAAATTTACACCTTATTTACAGGCTAAATTTGTTTAGCTTCAAATTCCAGTCATTGGATCATGTTGTACCTTTTTCTGCTAGACTGAAGCACCCATTATTAAATATGTGTCCCTCATGTAGGTACTTACAGACTGTGATCAAGTCATCCTTTAACCTTCTCTTTGTTAAGGTAAATAGATTAAGTGACTTGATCCTTTAATCATTCTTGCGGTTCTTCTCTGAAACCTCTTCAATTTATCAACAGCCTTCTTGAACTGTGGACACCAAAACTGGACACAATATTCCAGCAGCAGTCGCACCAGTGCCAAATACAGAGGTAAAATAAACTCTCTACTGCTCGAGATTCCCGTTTATGCATCCCAGGATCACATTAGCCCTTTTGGCCACAGTATCACATGAGGAGCTCATGTTCACCTCCAAATCTTTTTCAGAGTCATTGCTTCCCAGGATAGAGTTCCCCTTTCTGTAAGTATGGCCTATATTCTTCGTTATGAGATGTATATATATTTATATTTAGCTGTATTAAAATGCATATTTGCTTGTGCAAGCGATCCAGATGACTGTATCAGTGAACTGTCCTCTTCTTTATTTAACTCCCCCACAAATTTTTGGTCATCTGCAAACTTTATCAGTGATGATTTTATTGTTTCTTCCAGGTCATTGACAATCCCCCGTGGAACCCCATTGGAAATACTCCTGCTTGATCATGATTGCCTGTTTACTAATTACATTTCAGACCTATCAGCTAGCCAGCTTTGAATCCATTTACTGTGTGCCATTTTAATTTTAATATTGATTTTCTATAAGTCTTGGAACATTAGGGACCTGCAATTACCTGGGTCATCCCATTTACCCTTTTTAAAAAATAGTTCTAATAAGGGAAACTCAAATCCCATTCACTTAGCCACAATGCCTCTTAGAAGGAACCTTCCATATCTTTGTCCTTGGCACTGATATCTAAAAATGGGGTTACTCATCACACTGTTTCAGTCTGCCTCTGGTGGCTGGTTCACAGAGACCAGCAACCTTCTCATGATCAGGGCCGGCTCTAGTGTTTTTGCTGCCCCAAGCAGAAAGACAACAACAACAACAAAAAAAGCCGCGATCACGATCGGCGGCAGCTGTACCACCGCTTCATTCTACAGCGGTAATTCGGCGGCAGGTTCTTCGCTCCGAGAGGGAGTGACAGCCCCGCCGCCGAATTGCCGCCGAACGGCCAGACGTGCCACCCCTCTCTTCATTGGCCACCCCAGACACCTGCTTGCTACGCTGGTGTCTGGAGCCGGCCCTGCTCCTGATACCAGCTAACGTAGCTCAAGTTGTGAAAGCCTGTGCTGGAGATGCAGGTTCAGACGTTGCTGATGCATAATGAGGGTACTTACAGATGCACACAACAGAATTATTTTCCTCTTTTTAAAAAACATAGGAAATTATCCTGGAAAAAGTGTCCAAATAACATAATTAAAACTGCAAAGTCAAGCACTTGAAAGTTAAGAAATACCAGAGTTAAGATTGCATTCCATCCCTGGTGCCTATATATTATGATACAGTCTTTAATTACATGATCACGGGACTCTACCTTATTCAGCGCATAGGATGGATGGTGCTCAGATATTGCATCTGGGCTGTGTAGGGAATGAGTCAGTTCTGTAGGACCTCTACCTTATTTTCTCTAAAGTTGAAAGGCATGTAAAGAGTGAGAAGGGGACCGCAGGAAGAGGAATGGATGATTTTGTGATTCAGGCTGTAGCTGTCAGAAGATTGGAATTCTTTCTCCAGCTCTGCTTCCGAGTTCCTGTGTGATGCGGGGCAAGTTATGTTAATCCACATTTCTCTACATGGCCACTAACTGTGTGTTCCTTACCCACCTGGGTCCAACAGGAAGACACCTGGGACTGGGACTAGAAGTGCTGAGCGCTCACAACTGCAACTAAAGTCACTGGGAGCTGTGGATGCTCAGTCCTGCTAGCAGTAATAGATTGTGGGCTGGAGAAATGAACACGGGGCTGGAAGTCAGGTAGTCCTGAAATCTGTCTTTGATAAATCACTTCATCTCAGTTTTCCCATCTGTAAAATGGGGCAAATAATACACTCATAACGTCAATGGAGTTGTGAAGATACATTCAATATTGGTTGAGAGTTTCAGATATCACAATGATGAGCACCATAGAAAAGCCCAACAGGAAATTAATAATTTAATATTTGGTGCAGGGTTTGGATGGAGGCATTAGATACGGCAGGGGCCACACATGGAATGGTGAGAATGAAAGGAAATACTGAATAGCTGGCTCATTCCCTGAGCACGGTCCTTTCTCTTTACTGAATGAGGCAGGGTCCTGTGGAAAAAGAGTATGTGATCATGTAATTAAAGACTATCATACGGTATTACATATGCACCGGCAACCTCAATGCTGACACTTCCAGTTCAGGGCTTACTTTATAATACACTATCCTGTTGGTGGTTTTCCTGTTACATCCCCAGCATCCCAGCTCTACCCTGTGTGAATTCATCCATCTTATGCTCACCCTCACTTATGCTGACCAATATGTAACGTAAACCACTATTTCATCACCTTAAAATTTGTCTCTGGTGCATTTTAAAAACTAGTAACCTGTTTGCTACTTAAGGGAGCCAGAGTACTGAGGCAACTAGATCTATTGGATGGGGTACTACACTTGGAGTAAGAAGTTGTGGCTGCTATTCCTGGCTCCCTTTGTATAATCCTGGGCAATCTGCTTCCATTCTCTTTCCCCTCCCACTCTTGTCTATTTAGATTGCAAGCTCTTTGGAGCAGAGAGCATCTCTCTCGGTATCTTTGTTAGCGCCCAGCACAATGGGGCCCAATCTAACCTGAGAACTCTTGGTGCTACTTCAATAGAAATAATAGCTAATATTTGTTACAACTTAATGCTGGTGTCAGGCAGACTTTACTAAAAAATTGTAATAAGGAAGTGGTCTCAGAGCTAATGCCTACAACAATAGGCAAATTAGTAAACTGAGGATAATTACATTTTTAATTTTCAATAGTTCTCCAGTAGAGTTTTCCAGCCAGGAGGGGCATGACTAACTAGTATGTGGTGACCTGGAGTCTCCTCAGTATATGCAGAAGTACAGTGAGAGAAACTGGATAAAATTCAAGAAAGAAAACCTCGCACTTCTCTCCAGAACTGGCATTACCCCATAGAAACTGAAAGCAAAGAGTGTGAATGTACCACATGCTTGTTAACAGACAAACATTCTTAATTACTGACATTAAGTACAATAACCAAAGCAGATGTGCTCTGCAGACTTCCCTAGCCAATCCCATGCCATGTCCCTGCCCCATTCTTACCGTCAGGATTGGTAGTAGGATTGACTCCCTGTTGCTGCAGCACTCCAGCTGCAATAGAGTTGGGCCAGAATCTTTGAGTAGGACGGTGCTGGGATTTGATCTTCTTGGCTTTGGGGGCTGGATCTGGATTGCTCGCGTCAAGCATGGGCTGCAGAATGCGCCGTCGGGCATTGATAAACCTTCCCACGGGGAAAAACAGGGAGTTACTTGCATTGTTGAAGGTTCAGAATTATTACAAGGTTTTAGAATAATTAGCTTCTTTCGCTTATTGACTATGGGTAACATTTTCAAACGCATCTGGGTGACTTAGGAGACTAAGCTCCATTGACTTTCAATGAGACTTAGGTTTCTAAGGACCAGAGTTTTAAAAAGTTTTAGGCATTGCTCAACCTCATGTGGCCCCCGCCTAGTGGAATGTTTAGCCCTAAGTTAAGCAGCTCAGTTTCACCCAAACTCCATATGGTGTGCCTGGCGATAGTTAAGTGCCGAAGAGAGAGATTTTCAGACACTGGCCAGCTGAGTGGGAAGTGCCCTACATTAGCCAGGAGTAAAATGCCCAGGAGAAGGGCAGGGAGAGCAGAGAGCTGTAGGTGCATAAACGGCTCACCTGGTGCACCTGGCTGATGGTCCAGAGACAGATATCACCCTCTGCTTGGGATTCTCAGCTGCAAACCCTCTTGGAGTTAGACCCCTAAGACAGGTCACCTGATTAGGTAGCCTGTGCACTCTCTGGCTATGTCTCCACTGCTCCATTGTGTGGACTAAGGGTGTGTGAATTGCAGAGCACACCGAAGTGTTGTGCTCCCACTGCCCTGTGTGGACACTCTAGAGCAAACTAAAAGTTACTTTGTGTTAATGTAATCCTCTTTCAAACAGGATTATCTTAATGTGAACTAGGTACCTTTTCATTAGCTGTTAGACAGACACACTTTGTTGCACGCTGCAATTCACACCCCTGTAGTCCACCCTGCAGCAATGTAGACAAGCCCTCTGTCTCCTGGTCATAATCAATACCTCTCACATTGTTCAGGCACCTAAATCCCTTTAAAAATCTGGCTCTAAGTGCCCAAGTCACTTTTGAAAAGGAAACTTGGCTCCTAACCTGCTTAGGGCTTGTCTACATAGAGAAGTTACTATGAAGTAAGCTAGGATGTGATTTTAAAGCGCAATAGCTGTTCTGCATTAATTCCCCATGTGGACACTCTTATCCCACACCAAGAGTACCTTTTTCTGCTTAGTCCACTTCCAAAGTAGCGAAAGCTAAACCAGACAAAGGCAATGCAGAATAAGAGTGTCCACAATGGGAGTTAGTGCAGAATAGTTGTTCAGCATTTGCTACTCCATTATAGCTATTCTGAACTATTTGCCTATGTAGACAAGCCCTTAGGTGCTTTTCAAAATGTTACCCTATTTCACAAGTAAGTACTTTGTTATAACTACTAGCAATATGCTGACTATTATCCTCTGTAGAAAAATAAAAGACTAATTATTGCATTATGTATATTTTCACCAGCAGGGGGCACTGGGTGATTGCAAATGTATACCAGCTACTGTGGCTAGAGTTTACATGATGTTACCAGGCATCAGTCAGTACAGGCCCTTGGTAGACTTAATCCTTACTATAAGTAAATGTTATCATTCCATATTTAATCATTCTACTGCTCAGTTTAGTCTGGCATTATTGTGTCCGGCTAATGAAACAGCAGCAGAATGAAATGACAGAAGTAACAATAAAACATAGTCCTGGCTGATGATGACCCCACGTAATGATAGTAGTCTTCAACTACCTGAAGGGGGGTTCCAAAGAGGATGAAGTTCGGCTGTTCTCAGTGGTGGCAGAGGACAGAACAAGAAGCAATGGTCTCAAGATGCAGTGGGGGAGGTCTAGGTTGGATATTAGGAAAAACTATTTCACTAGGTGGGTGGTGAAGCACTGGAATGGGTTACCTAGGGAGGTGGTGGAATCTCCATCCTTAGAGGTTTTTAAGGCCCAGCTTGACAAAGCCCTGGCTGGGATGATTTAGTTGGGGATTGGTCCTGCTTTGAGCAGGGGGTTGGACTAGATGACCTCCTGAGGTCCCTTCCAACCCTGATATTCTATGATTCTATGATAAACAGTAAAGTACTCCCCAGGCAATGCTCCATACGATTACCCTGCTCCTCAGTCCATACATACTACACTCAACTCTTCAAACAGTGCAACACTCTCTGGATAAACAATCCCATAGTCCTAAATAATTCTACAGCTATCGATTTGTCTATATCTTTCTAGTTTGCCTGCCACTATGACATTTAGGCACAATAGCCCAAGGGCCAGATTTTTAAAGGTATTTAGGTGTCTAATCCTAGTGGGATTTTCAAAAATGCTATGAACTCAGCTCCAAGCTCCCCTCAGTATGGGCAGCTCCAGGCAGAGTTTCTGGCTCTGGCTTCTCGGGCACAGATACTGTCTGGTTCCATTTCTACATTTCTACAGAGCAGGGCCCAGTGGGAGCTTGGGGTTAGGTGTGTACATGTTTTGAAAATCAAAAGCTCCCATTGATTTCTTTTGATTGATTGGTTGCCTTTGAAAATCCCACTAAGTGTGTCTGCATCATTAGACCCCTAAATACCTTTATAAATCTGGCCCTCAGACTCCTAAGTCACATGGGCACTTTCAAAAAGCCTTTTCCAGGAATTAAAAGTTTCACTCAGGGCTCAATTCATCCCTGATATAACTTCATGGACATCACAAACTTACACCAGTGGCAAATGTGGCCCAAGAAATGGAAATGAGGTAAGTGACACGGAAGAGAGACAAGGTTGGCAAGGGAGTATCTTTTATTGGACCAGCTTCTGTTTAAGTTAGTTTTATAAAGAGTATGAGTCCAATTCTGCTTTTACACTAGTGTAAAGCTGGATTAACGGCAGCACAACTGGTGGAATTGCTGTGGATGAACAAACTGGATGGTAAAACTGATCTCAGAATGTGTCAGTGTCACAGCAGTGCAACTTGCACTGATGTGGTAATTTGCTGGAACTAAATTCAGCCCCTAGTATGAATGGGTACAATCTCTAGTGAAGTCAATGGGAGCTGGCCCTGGAAATATTGTGTTAGTTAAAGTGTGTGTTTGGCTACACCCTCCTTTTCGCTGCTTTCTCTGTTACACTGCCGTCAGCCCCCAGCATGTAACTGGCTCACTTTGCATACATACTGAATGGAGGAGCTGTGAAAGTTATGCTACTTTATGAGCAGTAAATAATTGAGAAGCCTGATTCTGGTAGAGGTCTGCTGTGTTTATACTACCATTTCTGTTACCATTAAATGCAGCCCAGAGACATCGCCATGTCCAGACTGCATTTGCCTGAACTGGATCAAAAGTGTTTTCTGGTTCTCCCATGTTTCTCAGTTTGGCTCTGCTCTCTCCTGGTGTTTTATTAGTAAATGGCATCTTCAGGAGTCAAATCCTGGCCCTAGTGAAGTCAATGGAAGTTCTGCCACAGACTTCAGTGGGGCCAGACTTTGGCCCAGAAGAATTTCTAAAACTATGATATCTTCTGGCTACACTATGACATCCAATGTGTTATTTTTATTTCATTGTTGTCATGTTTGTTGACAGCCTCGGTCTCATTCCATGTAATGCTATGTCTACACTACAGGCCTGGGGTAAGATTCCTCTGCTAATGTACACCTATGCACACTAACTTGCACTGAGCTAGCATGATTATAAATAGCAGCGTAGCCACAGTGGCACAAGTAGAGGCAGCGGAGGCACGGCTAAGCTTTGTCGAGTACCTACCTGCCTGACTCCGGGGGTGTCTGCACTCAGCACGGCTCAGCGGTGCCTCCTCTGCCACTACCTATGCCACCGTGGCTACACTGCTATTTATAATTATATTGACAATCATGTTAGTTCGATGAGAGTAGCACAGTATGTGTATGTGAGCAGGGAATCACAGCCCTGGCTCGTAATGTAACCATAGCCTAGGCGAGCTAGCGCATCGCGAGCATGTGTGTGTGAATAGAGCAATCACACCCACCTCGCAGACGCGGGCTCAGTGATACTATTAGCTGATTAACAAAGACAAATGGAAAAGAGTGACCCAAATATCAGGTAAACATTAATATTAAATAAGAATGAAAATGAAACCTTTGCCAATGCCTCTCAGATTACACCTACAGCTGTGCCAATGCATCTCAGTCCTGACCTCCAGCGTTCGCTGTTATTCCAGTCTGTTGCCACACAGTTCTACCAGTAAGATACCTTCTCACCTCACCTCCAGCAATGATACGCCTGAACAGAGAATGGCAAATATGGGGTGGGTGAACTCCATTCAGGATGGAGGATTTCCAGAGAAGAGTCACAGCATCATATTGCATTACCTGGAGCACGGTTTTAAATGTTTTGTGAACAATTTATATAGAGATGTTTATTTTTATGTCTACTTTCTTTTTAAGCACCCGTGGGTACAAATTCACTCCTTTGTCTTCAGACTAAGAAGAACCAACCTCAAACCATCAGGTTTGAATCTTGTCTCTTTTCCCTAGGAGCTAGTTCCACCTTACTCTATTGTTCAGATACAATACCTCAAAAACATAGAAAAACACCTCTGCCTGCCTTGGGCTCTGATGCCAATGTTATTCTGAGAAATGGACAATAAGGGGAGTTGCCTGAGTAACGTAATCAGCATCCTGCTATCCATGTGATGAAAGTCGCAGGCTAGGCAGGGACACTGAGAGTAGTGAGGTGATTCCATCAGTTTGATAACTATGAAAGCAGGAAAATTCCACAACCCCCACACTAAGGTTCACTCACCAGTTATTGACTTGCAAAAGTGTCAGGTTTGTCTGTGCTGCTATCTGCCTTTTCTCATCCTCTGTTGGGTAAGGGTGCTGAAAAGAGACAAATAGCATAATTACAGTGCATTACCTAGAGGAAGGCATTGAGGAGCCAGAGGGTCAGGGTCAGCTGTAGTGATCTGAGTTTTACCAGGATGGGCTCTATTAAAGGGTGCCCCGCCTCCGTTCTGGGTGGCTCAGCATTCCCAAGTTTTGAAGTGCTCCTTTCCATACAGTTGAACAGTCAGTTCCCACAGGAGTTGAAAGCCCAAATTCTAACCCATTTCTCAGTAGTGTGCAGGGCCTCTTGTGCTAGACACTAGACACATTCAGTGGCAGCAGAGAAAAGCCAGAGCAAGGAACCTAGCGGAAACCTTGCCAGTCTGGAAGCCGTCATTTATATTAATATTAAAACTATTTGCATTAAACTATTAAACTATTAAAACTAGCTGCAAAAACAGCCATCTGCATTCACCCTCTATGACCAATCCATAGAAGCACCACTCACGTTTTAGTGTGCTGGGGACTTTTAGAAGAAAGTTTTGGGAACTTTATCTTGGTTTGATTATTATTTAAAGAACAGGAAGTGCTCTTGGTTTATCTCATCTGGTCTACACTCATTTTATGATCATGAGTGCGTGTGACTGCTGGGGCATTTTATTCACAGATATGACCTAAATGCTACATAAGGACTGTGGCACTTGCAATCAGTATAAAATGACGAACCCAACAGAATTATTACGGTAACTTATAGGAGCTCTGGGGAAGAAGCTGCATTACTTAGTCCTGAAGAAAGGAAGCAAATTAACTGGAAAACTCAAGATTGAGCTTCAAGAACTCAGGTCTTATTGTGGCAATAAGACTGAAATGAACTATAGAAGCCTTACCTTGTATGTGTGTACGCAGTATGAATGATAGGAAACTTCCTGTGTGTGCTACTTGAGTTCAATCACTTTAAGCTTCTAAACTCGTAGATGCCAATTTTGCACAATGCATAAAATGACAAGTGGCATTGTGATAAATGAAAGGGGGGGGGACACTCCCTTTTATGGACACCCAGCCAGCAAGTTAGCTATAAAATCCCTGTTAGTAACTGTTCTCTACTTGCTTTACCTGTAAAGGGTTAAAAAAGTCCATAGGTAAAAAGAAGGGAGTGAGCACCTGACCAAAAGAGCCAATGGGAGGGATAGAACTTTTTAAAATTGGGAAAAAGCTTTCCCTTTGTCTGTCTGTTGTTGTTCTCTGGAGAGAGGGGACAGAGCAAAGACAGGGCTGAAGCTATGCTGTAAAAAGCTGTAAAACAGGTATGAAAATCTCCAGATCATACCAAGAACTACTCAATTTGAAACCCCAGAAATGTCTAGAAAGATGCAATTAGGTTTATCGCTTTTATTTCTGTAAGATTTGTGGACTCCTCTGTGCTAACCCCCAAATGCTTTTGTTTTGCTGGTAACCATTAAGCTGGACCTCAAGAAAACCATACTTGATGCTTAATTATTATATTTTTCTCTTTTTAAATGTAGGAATAGCCTAAGTTCCCGATGTATTTTCTTTCTTTTTGTTTTTAATAAAATTTACCTTTTTTGAGAACAGGATTCGTTTTTTTGTGTTCTAAGAGGTTTGTACATATGTTGTTTAATTAACTGGTGGCAACAGCTGATTTCCTTTGTTTTCTTCTTAGCTTCCCCCCCCGGGGGGGAGGGGGAGGTGAAAGGGCTTGAGGGTACCTCACAGGGAGGAATTCCCAAGTGCTCCTGGGTCCAAAGGGATTTTTTGCACTTGGGTGGTGGCAGCATCTACCCATCCAAGGTCAGAGAGAAACTGTAATCTTGGGAGTTTAATACAAACCTGGAGTGGCCAGTATCAATTTTTAGAATCCTTGCGGGCCCCCACCTTCTGCACTCAAAGTGCCAGAGTGGGGAATCAGCCTTGACAGGCATCCACAAACTGGATGATTAAATATTCAGTTACCCCATTTGGTGCAGGATCAAGCACATTTATGTCAATGAAAGTCTTTCCATTGGTTTGAACGGGAGCAAAATCAAGCCCCTGTTACTCTGTTTGTACCCACAAATCCAACTTTAGAGTGCAAAATATGTGTATTTCTGTTGAGAGACCTGTTTGAAAATGTAGCTCTTTGCGCTTTCTGTCAAACCTTTGTAGATTTATAGACTCCAAGGCCAGAAGGGACACTGTGAGCATCTAGTCTGACCTCCTGCATAATACAGATCATAGAACTTCCCTAAAATAATTCCTAGAACATACTTTTTAGAAAAACAGCCAATCTTGATTTAAAAATTGTCAGGCATCTAGAATCCACCACAACTCCTGGTTAATTGTTCCAGTGGTTAATTACCCTAACTGTTAAAATTATACACCTTATTTCCGGTCTGAATTTGTCTAGCTTCAACTTCCAGCCATTGGATCGTGTTCTACCTTTCCCTGCTAGACTGAAGAGCCCATTATTAAATATTTGTTCCCCATGTAGGTACTCATTGTGTGTAATCAAGTCACCCCTTAACCTTCTCTTGTTAAACTAAATAGATTGACTACTTTGAATCTATAACTATAAGGCATGTTTTTTAACCCTTTAATCATTCTTGTGGCTATTCTCTGAATCCTCTCCAATTTATCAACATTCTTCTTAAACTGTGGACATTAGAACTGGACATGGGATTCCAGCAGTGCTCACACCAGCACCAAACGCAGAGGTAAAATAACCTCTCTAATCCTACTCAAAATTCCCCTGTTAATGCAATTGTTTATGCAAACTTCATGTCCAGCACATCTCGGCTTGTAACTCTTGAATAAAATATACATGACCCAATGAGCTCAGCAATAACAAAATGTGAGTGAACCTCTGAGTAATGCTACTTTACGCTGGGCAGCTAACAAGACTGTGTTTCTGCTCTCCTGGGCAAATACATTACTGGAATCACTCTCTTCCCTGAAGCTTTTCAGAGCTTCTTAAAATATAACTCAGTCTGCACTGGAACTCCAGCCACAGGCGCACTCATTGGATTTGTCCAAATCCAAAGGTTTGTTATACAGTTACAGTTTCTGGGTGCATTCCAGAAAAATGTGCCACTATGTACTTTGTTTATTGGACCCTCAGAACCACTAGCCAAGACCACTGCATGGGAGTCACCAACTCCTAGATTAAGACTAATCCATTCCTTTACAAACAAAATATTAAAAAAATAGTTGGTTGGATTGCTGGGTCTTTTAAAACTGAAATAATAAAAAAGAAACATTTCAGGACATTTATTAGAATTACTTTTTTCTGCCAGTTAGCCCAAGAGATGAAGTTACTTCCTTATTAATAATGGATTCTCTGTTTATTGAGCCATGGCAAACCTTGCTGAAGCTTTATAAAATGTGTTAGCTCACATGCTCAGCTTGTTTAGGACAGCATCCTGAAAAATGCAAGGTGCACCTGCTACAGTCCAGTCTGCACATGTCCCTTGTACAGGGATAAGGTGCACGTGTTTAGTGGGTCTAGCTGGGATAAAACTGTATAAGAGATATAAGCCATCATCCTGCTTCATAATCCAACTTTTAAGTGCCTGGGCTATGAAGAGACATTCCCCAGGGGCAGGTTACTCCATAATTGTCCATTACAAGATTTTCTGCTGTTGCATTTGGTGCTGGCCACCATTAGAGACTGCAAGGAGGGTAGACGGCTGTCAGTTTGATCAAGTTTGATAATTCCTATGAGCTAGATTCACAATGGTAATTAGGTATGGTGATGCTGAACATTGCCATGCCTAACTTTAGGGGCCTAGAAACCCACTGGGATTCACAAAGCCTGAGCTAGGTATCCAGGCTCCCCATACAATGAATGGGGAGGCACCTCAGAATGGGATGCACAAAAGCCAGCATGCTGAGCGGGTGCCACCTAAACTAGCCAATGGGAGATGGCAAGGTGAGGGGTGTATCTTAAACTCCACCCCTCTCAAGGAGTTCAATGCCTCAGTCCAGGCTGCTTGGGATTCTCAGCTGCAAACCCTCACTTGGGGTACGTCTTCACTACCCGCCGTATCGGCGGGTAGCGATCGATTTATCAGGGATCGATATATTGCGTCTCATTAAGACGCAATATATCGATCCCCGAACGCGCTCCCCATCGACTCCGGAACTCCACCGGAGCGAGCGGCGGTAGCGGAGTCGACGGGGGAGCCGCGGCCGTCGATCCCGCGCTGTGTGGACCCACGGTAAATCGATCTAAGATACTTCGACTTCAGCTACGCTATTCACGTAGCTGAAGTTGCATATCTTAGATCGATTCCCCCCCCCCAGTGTAGTCGGTGTTACACACCTACACCACTTTTGCAACAAGCCAGGGGTGAGGGTTAGAGTCGAGTCCAGTGGTTAGAGCACTCATGTGGGAAGTGGAAGAGCCTTGGTTCAAGTCCTCCCTTTGCCAGAGGGAGAAGAAAGCATTTGAACAGGGCTTTACTCCCTCTTGGGTGGGTGTTCTGACCACTAGGCATTAGGATTTTCTGATGTGGGCCTCCATCAGTCCCTCCTATTGAAGCTAATTTAAAAAGTCATTGGAACAGGGGGACTGGATCCCCCGTCTCCCAGGGGAGTGCTCTAACTACCAGGCTCCAGAATTGTTCTTGTGCTTGGGCGTGCTTTCTCTCCAGCCCAACAATTCCTTCTCCACGATGGTACAGTTTCAACAGGAGAGACTGAGACTGAGCCCCATTTCTGCCCCTTCCCCAAATGACCTATAGCCCAGTGGTTAGGACATGCACCTCAGAGGTAGAAAATCCCTTCTCTCCATCAGGCAGAGGGAGGACTCTCCCCATTCCACTGGACTAAAAGTCATAAGGGAGGTCCTTGTCCCCCCAGCTGTTTTGTGGAAGAATGCCTATCAGGTCCCAATCTTGTAGGCAGCCTCTGAGCCCACTTACTAGATCAGGCCCTGCAGGTGAGTTAGATGGAGGAACACTTATCTTCTCCCAGTTCATCCATCATTATTGGGCTTAGGTGTCCAGCAGTGCACATGCGCAGAAGCAGAAACATAAGCCCATAGGGAATTTTACTGC